CCGATAAAGCAAGCCAAAAAAAGTCTTTTTGTTGTGGGTTAGCTAGACGTTCAGCAAATCTTAAACAAGTTAGTCTCTGCCGTTTGAGGATAAAGTGATCGAATAATTGCGCACTTTGCCATCGTGTACGTATATGCCACATGACGTCAGTTGTAGTGATTGCTAGACTAGACCTTCAGATCACTATAGACAGCCCCAACTGTAATGCTAATATATTAACTATCGCGAGGAACTTTTATTCACAACGAGGTGCTCGCTAAAGCCCAATTTAAGCTGTTTTGCTAATATATTAACAACGTTCACTATAAGCAAATTTATATCTATTTCTAAATTTGTTTCTTGGTGGTTTGGTTCACTGTGGACAGAGAAAGAGTTCTGATAGCAGTTTTACTGTTATTATAGGTAGCGTCATGTAATTCGATTTCGTGTTCGTAGAGTATCTCTCATTATTATCTAAGAATTGACCCCCGCAATATCTATTGCTGTGGCGCAAATCGATATCCCCTGTATACATTCTCGTTAACCATGTAAGGCAAACCGGGATTTACATGTTGCATATAAAAGGTAACGTGCAAAAAATTTTGCCGCAAAGTCAACTGAGGAGAGCAAAAAAGAGATGATGGATCCCGCTGTTGCAATGGAGGTTGACACACAAGACTCCTCAAAAAACAAGACGTCAGAGTTTGATCCGTACTATTTTGATCTATTCGGTGCTACTGAGGACTTTATACAAATGCTAGAGCAGATACGTGTTGAAGATTTATCAATACAAATAAACTTTCATGAAAACGTCAAAATTCTCAAAAGTTCTGTTACAAGTCGACATGACGCAAGCAAGTTGCTGAATAGTCTGTCCATAATATTGTTACATCCTTCTGTTACACTTCATGTAGTCAAGTTTTATCGCCCTCTATTGATTGATTTGGTTTCCCGTTGGCTTTTGCTTCAAGACCAATTGTCGATAGACATCATGTCAAAGGTCGAATTAGTAGCACATGCGTTTGCTGTAATACTACCTATCGCACCTCAATTATCGGGATTGGCATTTGATTTCTTCTCGCAATCGCCTTCATTATTTGCAGGTTTACATACACATGGAAAATATTTATCTGCTAGTAAGGTGAGTGAGGGTTTTTAAGGGCCCGTCAACTATTGAATGACTTTGGATATAATTTTAATGATCCTAATTAATTAATATAGGCATCTACGAGGCTCCTCCAGAGATTATTGTTAACTGGCTATCGACTACTTAAAATTTCTCGAATAACATTTACGCGTCTTTGGAATTGGTCTCCGATTTACCAGTTACTATCTCATTCAGACGCTGCCGTTAGATTTCTGTCGGTAATATGTCTCAGCTACGTACTCGATCTCTCGGATACGCAGAGACTGACAGCAACTGAACTATGGGTCGGTCCTCAGAACGAAAAAGTTTACATGGCATGGGAAGATGGCGTACAAAGAGATATTGGAATGTTGACTTTGTTGGAACAAGAAACGCTCGCTAAATTGCAAATGGTGATGCTACATAATGATTTCAAAACACGGGATACAGCTGTATTGAATGAATCCGATTTATCTCCGTTTATTGTGAATGTTTCTGGCGTATTGCTTTCCAAAAAACGACAAGAGCATGTTGTAGTACAACCAACCGTCAATGAACGACTAGCTCTCACCAATACCACCCGGCGCAATCTTCGTGCCATATGCTTGGCTGTCTCTATCGGTTCACCTATTCTGCTTGAAGGCATAACAGGATGTGGTAAGAGCGCGCTCGTTGAAGAAGTGGCCCGTCTCACAGGTCGTGCATCGGATCTGGTAAAAATACACTTGGGCGATCAGACAGATTCCAAGGCTTTGCTCGGGACGTACGTATCGACGGCTACTCCCGCAGTTTTTCGGTGGCAACCTGGTGTGCTGACGACTGCTGTTAAAAAAGGTCGCTGGGTGTTGATCGAAGATATCGAATTGGCTTCTGCTGAAGTTATGTCTGTGCTTATTCCTTTGCTCGAAACTCGTCAGTTATTTATACCTAGTCGGGGTGAGAGAATAGAGGCTAATGAAGAGTTTCAGCTATTTGCTACGAGAAGTCTGTTACCGGATAGAATAAACGGAGCAAACTCAACACGAGCAATGAACGCTGAAATTACTCTTGGGAAGAGTTTGTGGACTAAAATAAGGGTCGAATCCTTGACAATAGACGAACTTGCGTCTGCAATCGAGCACAAGTTCCCTAACTTATCCAACCTAGTACCAGTCATAATGCGAGTATATAACACCGTAATATCGATGTATCAAAGTCCAAAGTCTCCCTTTCTGTCAACTTCAAGCTCGAAACGACTTATAACGACACGTGATTTGATGAAATGGTGTAAGAGGTTAAGCGCACTTTTACGTCCAAGAAATGATTTACTGACTGCACAGAGCCTAACTCAGGGTATTCGGGAGGATTTTTTTAGCGAGGCAGCCGATTGTTTTTGCGGGATGATATCTGAATTTGATAAATGGGTGAAAGCTCTCGAATATGTTGGAGACGCGCTCGAGATACCAAAGGAGCGAGTTAGGTTATATGCGAGTTCATATGTTCCGACAATCAATGTAAGCGACAAGGTAATCAATATTGGGAGGGCGTATCTTGAACCAATGCTGTCAAGCAATAAATATTTAACGAGACGTGGTGTAAAGAAAAAGACATTTGCTAATACTTCGCATTCATTACAACTAATGGAAAGACTGGCTGTTTGCGTTCATTTGTGTGAGCCCGTGTTATTAGTAGGAGAGACAGGTACAGGTAAGACCACAGTCGTTCAGCATTTGGCTGATCTTATGAACCAGAACCTTGTCGTGGTCAACTTGTCGCAGCAAAGCGATAGTAGTGATTTGCTCGGTGGGTTTAAGCCGGTTGATGCAAAGGTGCTGGCGACACCCTTGAAGGAAGAGTTTGAGATGCTATTCAAGCAAACATTATCCGTCAAGAAAAATCAACATTACTTGGACAAGGTTCACAAAATGTTTGTGGAAAAGAAGTATGATAAAGTTGTGGCGCTTCTGAAGAAAACTATCAAGACGGTAGAACAACAGTTTGAGAAAGCACTTGATCAACAAAGAGAAGAAGTTGAACGCGATAGAGCATCAAAGATTCTATCTGGAAAACCAGCGAGCCCCGAACTAAGACATCAATGGAAAAAATTTGCAAATGCTGTAAACACCTTTGCTGCTCAGCAGGAACAAATAAAAAACAAACTGGCCTTTAGTTATATTGAAGGGTCTCTGGTCAAAGCAGTTATTAAAGGTGATTGGATTTTATTAGATGAAATTAATCTGGCATCTACAGAAACATTGGAATGCCTGAGTAGCCTTCTTCAAGATGCGCAAGGCTCTTTATTGCTCACTGAAAAAGGTGATGCCGAACCCATCAAACGACATCCAAACTTTCGAATGTTTGCCTGTATGAATCCAGCAACAGACGTGGGTAAACGCGATTTGCCGCCAGGCTTGCGAAACCGGTTCACGGAATTCTACATCCACCCACCGGATTCTCGACGTGACGATTTACTAGTTATAGTACAGCAGTATCTAGCAGGATGTGTTCACAACGATGAGCATAGTTGTATGGATGTAGTAGAATTCTATCTTGCTGCAAAAAACTTGCTGGCTCAGCATAAACTTGTAGATGGCGCGAATCAACGACCACATTTCAGTATGCGAACACTTGCGCGCGCTTTAAGTTACGTTGCACACATTACACCCACGTATGGTCTGCGTCGTTCGCTATATGAAGGGTTTTCTATGACTTTTTTGACCCAATTGAACCAGGAAAGTGAGGATCTCATGCGACAGTTGGTTGAAAAATTCTTGTTACGTGGTCTTAGCAATCCGAGGGCTTTGATTACACAGACTCCCCGTCAACCACGAGACGGAAATTATATTCAGTTTGGTCATTTTTGGCTCGAATGTGGTAGCTATCCAATTGAAGACATGCCGCACTATATAATAACGCCTTCCGTAGAGAAGAAACTGAACAACTTGGCGAGAGTCGTCATGAGCCGCAAATATCCTGTTCTGATACAAGGCCCAACATCGGCTGGAAAAACAAGCATGATAGAATATCTTGCCAAAAGAACTGGGCATCGATTTGTACGAATAAATAATCATGAGCACACAGATTTACAAGAATACTTGGGAACTTATATATCAAATGCCGAAGGAAAGTTGCAGTTTCAAGAAGGAGTACTTATCGAAGCGCTGAAGAATGGATACTGGATTGTACTTGATGAACTGAATCTCGCACCATCCGATGTATTAGAAGCATTAAACAGACTGCTCGATGATAACCGTGAACTATTAATTCCAGAGACGCAAGAAGTTGTTAGGCCGCACAAAGACTTTATGTTATTTGCAACACAGAATCCACCCGGTGTTTATGGGGGTCGTAAGATATTATCCCGTGCGTTTCGCAACAGATTTTTGGAACTCCATTTCGATGATATCCCTGAAGACGAATTGGAAACAATCCTGGCTGAACGATGTGCTATGGCACCTTCATATTGCAAGCGTCTAGTTCAAGTTTATAGACAGTTGATCGAACGACGCTCGGGTACACGCATCTTTGAAAGAAAACACGGATTCATTACGTTACGTGACTTGTTTCGGTGGGCTGGACGTGGTGCTGTAGGATATCAGGAATTGGCAGAACATGGATATATGCTATTGGCCGAAAGATTAAGAAAACCCGAAGAAAAAGCGATTGTCAAATCCATAATAGAATCAGTGATGAAGGTTGAAATAACCGAGGGAATGTATGACTGCTCACAGCTAGAAGAGTTTAAACAATATTTAGCCAAAAGATCAGATAGCAGTCCTGTGGATGTTGTTTGGACCAAATCAATGAAAAGGCTGTTCACTCTTGTATCAAAATGTCTACGATTCGATGAACCAGTTTTACTTGTGGGCGAAACTGGCAGTGGAAAGACTACCGTATGTCAAATATTAGCGGATGTAAAGGGACGGGCATTGCACATTGTTAATTGCCATCAGAATACAGAGACGGCCGACCTATTGGGAGGACAGCGACCCATGAGAAATAGGTCTGTTATGAATGCCGATTTGGAAAAGGATCGTGTCTTGTTTGAGTGGCATGATGGACCATTAGTACAGGCTATGAAAAGGAAAGAATTTTTTTTACTTGATGAAATTTCTTTGGCAGACGACTCTGTGCTTGAACGTTTAAACAGTGTGCTCGAACCTCAACGACTCTTGGTATTGCCTGAAAAGGGTGGTCAGCATGTGGAAGAGTTGATAGCGGCAAAGGGTTTTCAATTTTTGGCAACAATGAATCCTGGCGGTGATTATGGTAAAAAGGAATTATCACCCGCGCTTAGAAATCGGTTTACTGAGATATGGGTTCCTTCTGTAGTTGATTATGATGATTTGCTGCAAATTATCGATGCCAAGTTAAAACATTCCAGCACAAAAAGATGTGGTAAAAATATACTTGCATTTATCGAGTGGTATTCTCATACGCTGGGAAAGTTGCATGCAGTAACGAGTTTAAGAGATATCTTGTCTTGGGTATCATTTATAAACACAACAGCAGAGAAGCTCGGACCGGCGGTATCTTTTGTGCATGGTGGATGTATGGTATTATTGGATGGTTTAGGGTCTAATACGTCGCCAGGTTTACTTTTATCGGGCGAAGCATTGAAACAGTTTAGAAATACATGTCTGAGAAAACTTGTGGAATTGAGCAGAAGTGATGTAATTTTACGGTCGGACCCGCGTGTAGAGTGGAGCGTATATGGGCAAACAGACTCCGAAAACATGAATCAAGTAGAATCGCACGAATCAACTTTTGGTATCCATCCGTTTTATGTTTCTAAGGGCCCGCTTGGTGACCAACCTCTTACATTTCAGCTGCTTGCTCCAACAACTTGCAGCAACACTATGCGAATCCTTCGTGCAATGCAACTAAATAAATCAATCTTATTAGAAGGAACACCAGGAATTGGCAAGACTGGTTTGGTTACTGCCATAGCGGCAGCGACAGGTCATAGATTAATTCGCATAAACTTGTCTGAGCAAACAGACTTGACGGACTTGTTTGGATCCGATCTTCCGGTCGAGGGTGGTAGCAGCGGTGAATTCGCCTGGAGAGACGCTCCATTCTTACAGGCAATGCAGACAGGGGACTGGGTATTGCTAGATGAACTCAACTTAGCTTCGCAATCAGTGCTCGAAGGTTTAAACTCGTGTCTTGATCACAGAGCATCCGTATACATACCCGAGTTGGACAGAGAATTCTCGTGCTCGAGCGAGTTTAGAGTATTTGGTGCGCAAAATCCACTCAACCAGGGTGGCGGACGCAAAGGCTTGCCCAAGTCTTTTGTAAATCGATTTACTCAAGTCTTTATTGAACCGCTCACCAAAGATGATATGCTTTTTATTTGCCGTAACTTGTTTCCTGAAGTTTGCAATTCCATTTTAACAAAAATGGTTGAATTCAACACACGCATGTATGAAGAAACGATGGTCAAATGTTCGTTTGCAAGAAACGGTAGCCCTTGGGAATTCAATCTACGCGATGTATTTCGTTGGCTGGAACTAATGAAGGCGGATAAGAATTATTCTTGTCCTGAGACGTATTTTGATATAATTTACCTGTATAGGCTTCGTACAGAAGAAGACAGAGTTCGTGCTATTGCATTTTTTAATGAAATATTTGACGGAAGTTACACGCAAATACGTCGGCCGGCTTATGAAATTACTCCGGATCATATTCAGATCGGTCGGACACGTCTGTTGCGTCGCTCGCAAGGATTTCGTGCTCCCACCAGGCCAGACTTGCATCTGCTACAATCTAATCTACTGTCTTTGGAAGTCATCATGAAATGCGTTGCGATGGATTGGATAGTGGTCCTGACTGGTGCCGATGGAACGGGCAAAACAAGTTTAGTGAGGTACATGGCTTCTTTAACAGGCAACAGATTGGAAGAGTTTGCAATGAATAGCAGTGTTGACACAGTCGAGTTGCTTGGTGGGTTTGAACAATTGGACATCGTAAGACATCGCCAGACGTTGTTTGATGATATTGGTGAACTATCGAACCAGGTTATGAAATATTTATTGTCAGGGACTCTTCGATCTTCTAGCAAAGACGATCTGTCTAACAACATTCTGACACTCCGCCAGTTGAATGATGCATTTTTTGTCATGAACAGTCAATACAAACTGTCTGCCGAACCATCCGGTACACGAAATACTCCTAAGCTTGACTATAATGTTATCGAGCATCTCTTATCAACGCTTCGACAAATAATGTCCCGTGATTCAGCCCCGTCTTTGGAAGTGGATGGCCTGACATCAACTATAGAGAAGCTGTATAATCAATTTTTATCTGTCAAGAAGTTAGAAAGTGAACAAATAACGGGAAGATTTGAATGGATTGATGGCGTGCTTATAAAGGCTCTTCAAAACGGTCACTGGCTCCTTATAGATAATGCGAACCTATGCAATCCTTCTGTTCTTGATCGGTTGAATCCTTTATTGGAGCCAAATGGAGTATTAATGGTGAACGAGCGTGGCCTAGTTGATGGAGCAGTCCAAATCATCCGTCCTCACAAAAACTTTCGTTTGTTTATGACTGTTGATCCACATAATGGAGAATTATCTCGCGCTATGCGCAATCGTGGTGTTGAAATAGCTTTATTGAGCGCCGAATGGTCTAGTAATCGACAAGATGCGATAAGATTAACGAATTGCTACGGACTGCGCGGATTAAACCTTCCAAGTCTTCTTATTGACTTGCATAATTCGTTGAAGCAAAACGCCACAGTCAGAGACGCAAATCCCCGAAGTTATTCAATGATGATTCGTTTTATTGTCGAAAGATTGCAGCGTGGTGACAGCTTCATGTCTTCATTGCGACATACTCTACAGCAATTTGAGTTGTTTAATGAAGACGTCAATAGATCCTTTTTTGAAGAATTAGATAACCTTGTCCAATCTAATGAACCACATGCCCTATTGAATGATGTCAACCCTACTAATTTTCCAATGATTTTAAGTGGATCCTTTTTCGAGGAAGAATCGTCGTTAGCAGCTGTTTGTCTTTACGGCGCGTATTTTATGTACCTTTTACACAAATATACTACATGTGAAGATGAACAGTCGGCATCTGACATTATACCTTCTATTCATGTCGCCTGTGAATTTCTTGTTGAGAAAAGCCTTAGTAAAGAAGCTGCTGTCTACATACGCTGGCTTGATTTTCTTTCTTCGACAATGGTCGCCGCACGGGAAAGCAAGACACGCGTTGATGTGATAGATTTTGCCAAATATTTCATTACCGTTTTACTTAATCATCCTCTCGCTTTGCGCTATGCTCAACAAGATAATGTCAAAGCATCCAAGGTAATTGGCTCGCTTATTCTGCTTTTCAGATGTCGACGTTGAGAATACTGTGGTGTAGATTTGTTAGCGAACATTGATTCTTATCTAGTTAACTATGCATGCAATTTTTTTAATCTAGGCTTTTGCGTTATTGAAACGATATCATCAATGCGAGTATGTAGAAAACGTAACCTACCAGCAGTCAATGCGACGGAGACTTTCTAAATTAAATATTGCCCAAGAATCCTTTGCTTATCATGAGGGAAGATTGACTGAAACCAGTCATCCGACTATATCATCGATTTATCTTTTTTTTGAAAGTTCACGTCAAGCCCTCAAGTGTTGCATAGATGACTGGATGAAATTTCAGGATATAGAGGTACTTTGGGTAATTAATATAGGTTCTTGTCTGCACAAGTTGCTAATTTGCTTATTTTCTCTTTAGACGTTGGACTTGATAAGTACTCTGCTTGATCAACGCAAATTTGTTTGGAATCTGTGTTCCAAGAGAACAAACTTGGATGTTGCCGAGTTGAGTGCATGTATGCAGATGCTTCGGGAGACAGCCACATTACTGTGTGAACAAAACGATCAGTATTTCAGCGTTATGCTTCAATCCATCGAAGACGTTACCCAAAAAACTCGACTGAAAACGGGGACATCTATGGGCATTATATGGAAAAAGTTTCATTCCATTACACTTCCAGATAAGAGCCTCTCTAACGTTGAGCAAGCACCTTTGAATCTCAGCAATGCATCGAACATTAAAAATTCGATAATAGAATATTGGAGTATTTTAAGAGAAATGCAAATTTTCGGACAGCTTGCCTTTCTCGAAAGTCGAAATCTCAAATCCCGCGAACTTGAATTAAGCAAAACACTCGAAAACATCTTGCATTTATGTGAGGTTTCATCGCAAAGATCAACGCGACCAGCATCGGATTTTGTTGCTCACAAGAGATTATTGTGGATTTACAGACGCGACTCAGACGATTTTATCGATGCTGAAGCTGAATTAGTATTCAACAATATAATCCAGGACATTTTGTATGGATGGCATACTAGATTATGGAACTACAGTCTTAAAGGAATTTCAGAAAGTATGATTGAAATGGAAAAGTCTTTGCAAATCGAGGGACCGTCGGCCCTGTTTCAGAGTATATATGCTACAACTTACTTCGCATACATGTGAGTTCTAGATCTCAATGTTTTATTCATATAGTTTTCTTAACTAATCAGGTATTAAATTTCCGGTACAGACTGTCTCTACAAAGCATTAGCGTCGAATCTTATAACGAGAGCATTGTACAGCACAAAGAACTTTTGAAGCACATATCATCATGCGTTGTCTACCCAGTAAATCGACGTAACATTGACTTTGCGAATCTGATCTTTTATTTACGACAAGTAAGTTTGAAATTGTTGATTGAATTCATAATTATGTTTCTTACCTTGTAACTTTACATTAGATTTTATTCGTACACCATGAACAATTGTTCGCTGTTAATAATAACGCGACCAACATGCTGGACCGCTTATCAGACGTTGCTTCGTCACTTCTTAAAGAAATGGATAGTGCCTTGTTCGATGACAAAATTGCTAATGTTCTTTGGGACGTGTTCCGTTTTATTGAACGCCTCGAAGATCAGATCAATATCGCGCTTAAAACGGGTTTAGTAGCAGTTATCCGATTGCTGCTTGATCTAGTGTCGAGCACAGATGAAGTCGAAGCATTGAAACTCCTCGGTCAAGCCTGGATTGCATTTTCATTATGCTTTGTCACCCTTTATATACCTGACTATCCTCTCGATCCGACTAATGAAGAACGCCTCAGAGCAAACCTTTTCTCATTCAGACAGGATAATTTGAAAAATCAAATTGTTGTTCGTCAAGAAATAGAATATTACTACACGGGTGAATCAAGTAATACTGTCATAGAGATGCTGGAAAATGACCTGGACAAACTAAAGGTCTCAAATCACAACTCTTCCAACCTTGCACTGCGCCCCGAGCGGTCGCTACTGGACGATTTGTTCAAGCATGTATACTATCTTCGCGAAAACGTAATCGACCAGAAACATGTAGAAAGCCTGTTGTCTGACCTTCAGGTTGATTGCGATTCTGATGTCTTGCAAAGAGAACAATTATTTCAAGCAAGAACATGGCAATTTATTCAAAGAACATCGTCTAATTATCCGCTTTATTATGATTTACTCCAGCCCTTATTTGTTGCTCTATATCAACTCAAGTTTGGTGTCCGTCTTGTAACCTCTGCTTGCTTGGCAACAAAGAAAAATAAGAATGAAGATCGACTTCAACAAATAATTATTGCTTTATTGGAATGTTCCATCAGAGGACGTCCGCATAGTGAACATTTAGAATATATTACCCAAGAACTGTCTTTGGATGCAGTAAAAGCTATCATTTTTTCTCAACATTCGGCATCAAAGACATGGGACCAATACCTGGAATACTTGTGTGTTGTTCTCAATTGCATCTATCATCGTGTTGCAATGCAAGGTCATCTAACTTTAAACATACTCGTTTTGTTAGACAGAATTTGTTTAGAAATCGCAAGGATTTACTTAGCCGCTGAAGATCAACAGAAAAAGATAGCTGAAGAAAAAGGAAGTCTTTACAGAAGAAAAACACAGACACATGATATTGCCAGAGACGATGAAAGAGATGAACAAGATTTTAAAAAGATGTTTCCAGATTTCAGTCAAGAAATAGAGGTAGCAGTTTCAACTGATGAGGACAAGCAAGAAATACCTGCTGCTTTTGAGGACAGTGAGATTTTCATCGTAAATAATAATATACTTACTCGGATTGGCACTTTACACGCAAGACTATTCGCCGACTTTGACTTCTTACACAAAGTAGATATTCCTTCTCGCGACAATTTGACAAAGCAGACATTTTTCGCGACAAGCGTTGTGGTCAGTTCGTTAGCGTCACTTAATCATGGGACATTTACGGAGAAGATGGATTCTATCATCGTTCCCTCCCAGCTTCTCGGGTTTACAATATGGAAAGATTGGTTGAGTCACGGCGTCGGCCCCGAAATGTCTGGTACAACAACCGGACGTGCCCAGAGCTATGACTTTTATAAAGACGCAAACATACCGGAAGCGCGAAGGATTATTCCAGCGCTATCAAGATTTCAGGTTCGCATCATCGAGTTACTGAAGGAATGGCCTGAACACGCAGTCTTGCAACAGCTTGATATGTTATGTGATAGAATTAAAGGTTTTAGTCTTACTTCTCCGATCGCGAAATTTCTTACTGGATTGGAAATTCTTTTACAAAAATCGGAGGAATGGGAGGCATACGCGAGTCGGGATGTTTCAGTAAGCAGAGAGCGCGAAGATTTATCAAGTCTAGTTGTTAGTTGGCGTCAGTTAGAACTGACCTGCTGGCCAAATCTTTTAGTCTCCCAAGAAATATACAATGAATTGTCAGTGTATAAATGGTGGTTTCATTTATACAACAGCGTCCTGCGACCTATTGACAAATTTAATGGAGACATTCTGGATGAAGTGGGTTTCAACGAACACATAACGAAAGTCTTGGAGATACTTGACGAATTCTTGCAATCGTCCAAACTGGGTGATTTTCATGCTCGATTAAATCTTGTCTACTCTTTCTCCTTGCATTTACGAGCAAAAGTTTATGCACGCGATGCCGCGTCTGCGTTGATCGAAAGAGCATACGATTCACTATTAAGCATACATAATTATTATTGTCAGTTTTTAAATCAACGGAACGATACTTTGGGCATTTTGCGTAAACCGATTGAAAAGGAGCTCAAGGATTTTGTCAAGTTGGCTAGCTGGAAAGACGTCAACATTCACGCCCTAAAGCAAAGTGCACAGAAAACACACCGACAATTGCACAAGTGTATTCGTAAATACAGGGAAGTTCTTGAAACACCTATTACAATTGTAATTACTGCGTATCAGAATGATATTTATACCGCTCAATCAACAGCCATCAAAGATAAGCAACTTATTATACAATCACGAACTAGCGCTGACGCATGGATCTTGAACTTCTCAACATCGGACTTCCTTCATTTCAGTAAATTTGACGCTGAACGATTTACGTTTAAATTGCCTTCTCGTTTTGTAAATATTAGTCATACTTTCGCACGACTACAATCCTACTGTCGAGATGACATTCTTCTGAATAGGCCAAGAAGGGTAGCGAACACCAAGGCAATAGACGAATTTGCAACATACATAATACAACGCATTAAAACTCTCCAGGAAGAAACTTCAGCGGTTACAAAAGAAGATAACAAGAGTTTAGTCAAAAGTCAAAAGATGGTAAAGAAAAAATCCCTTGTTGACCTTTTAAGAGAACTTAAACGAATTGGTCTTAATCATTTTGCAAAGAAGCTGGCCCAGAAACAACAGGACCTCGTTGGATACATGTTGCAACTTCCTTGTGTTGAATTAGAATATTCGTTTAGAGCTTTTGCGAAGAAAGCGCTTCTGCCAGATGTTGACTCAGCGATGTTGTTATGGTCAAGGTCTGCTGACTATTATTATAAAATAATTGCACGCATGACTCATCTTCGTACTATTGCTAATACAAATCCATCAAAAGATCTGACTTCGCAAGAAGTTACGAAAGGCCTTGGTTTCGCCGAACATTTATTACATCTAATTGTGATTGAAAGAAAAGCTTTACATACTTTTGAACAACAATACACACGAATGATAGGGATGCTGATGCAACTCAAGCATCTGTCTTCGACATTTGACGATTTACAGAGCCCTAAATGTAACATTATTGACTTGAAATCGAATGTGGTTGCTGATGCTTTGAAGGTTCACAGCGAGACGTTGGATGATCTTATCGCTTTACTTTCGAATGCCTGTCTTATTGTCAATTGCCAAAAAGAAGGAGTAGAATCGCTGACAAGTAATGAGTTTGATTTTGTCGAACAGTTGAAGGATTGGCTTGAACGAATTCAAAAAGCAAGGGATAGATTCAATAAGATTTATACAGAAACTTATCTGATTCCAAAGCATATAATTGGAAGCAAACCATTAGTTAAAGAGGACTTGCGAGGCATAGTGCAAGAAGATGTAGAGACAATTAAATCGCTTTGCGCATTCCTCACCGATTCATATCGACAGACTCCCCAATTTAAATACATTATGTCACCTATTTCTGATTTTATTGTCTCAAAGGATTATGAAATCTTCATTCCCACTTTTGACAAAGATTTTAAAGATGATGTACGACTTGATGAGAACGTTATAACATCTTTCCTGGAAACAACAGCTGACTTTATCGATGGGATACTAGTAGCAATTCAAGAATTACGTAAGTCAGCTCAACTTAAACACTCGAATGATCAGTTAGCAGTTAGTGTGGATGAACCGCAAATGGCTGATGGTCATCTGCGACAAGAACACAATCACTTTCTTGAAGCATTCAAAGAACTGAATCCTGGAAATATCTTCAAAAAGTCAGAACGCGTTTATGAATTTCTTGATATAGTGATGAATAATAAAGAATGGTTCAGAAGTTCGACTTGCAGAGAGCTCGTTGTCCGCTTATTGCAAAGAGTTTACCCATTCGTTCACCAATACGTTCTCATCATGCAGTATAAGTTATTGTGCAATCTTGCACATCACAAATCGGTTTGTAAGTTAACGTACGTGCTGGTAAGCTCGTTCACTGTCATCTTTTCACGAGGGTTTTGCACGCCGAATATGGAAACTGAAGTCACTGAGGAAGGAGACACGGAAAAGAATGTTCAGGGAACTGGTATAGGTGAAGGTGAAGGTACTAAAGATGTTAGTGACGAAATTGAAGATGAGGAACAAGTGTTAGGTACGCAAGATCAACCGAACGAACCAGATTCAGACAACAAAAGGAAAAACGACGACGACAAAAATAAAGGTATGGAGATGGAGAACGATTTCGAGGGCACAATGGAAGACATTGATCAGACTGCTGATGACAATAGAGGGGACGAAGATGAAGACGAAGATGAAGACGAGATTGAAGATTTTGATGAAGAGATTGGAAAACTCGACGACGCTGACCCAGACATTGTTGATGAAAAAATGTGGGATGACAAATCAGTAGACGGCCTTGATGAAAGTGATAAAACTGTTAACAACGATATGAATACTTGTGATAATAACGAGACAGACATTGTTGCCAAAAATTCAGATAACATATCTAAATCTGAAGATAAGCAAAAGAAAGAACGGAAAGATCAACCTATTCACCCTGATCAGGACCCATCGCCTCAAATTGATGAACAGGAGGAAAACGAGGATTTTGCTAATGAAGTTGATGGAAGAGATGCTGCACAGACAGATTCGGTTGACATTGAAGTGCCAGAGGCCGAAACGTTAGACTTGCCGGATAACATGAATCTCGATGATATGGAGGACGAGCATCTAAACGACATGGATGATAAACAAGCGGACGAAGGAAATGATTTCGAAAATATGGATATCGATGATGAACAAAAGTTTCAGTCCGACAATGACTTTGAAGAAACTCAGTCTGTGCAAGATCAATTGGATCCGATGGATACTGAAGACGTAACGGATGAATTCAATAAAGACACTGAACGCGAACGTAATGAAGCCATTACCGAACAAGATGATACTGATAGAGCAGAGAATGAAGTACCAGAGACCAGTGACAAGGGCGAGATACCAAACGAGCGAAATTTTCATGATCAGCCAGTGCCAACGTCCGAGAATAATCAATATATCGCAAACGAAGGGCGACTTGATCCGACGGAGCAAGGTGTCACGTGTGGAATGGAAAATGAAATCTCAGAGACTGGCGGCGAAAGCCAGACATCAAATCAGCAAAATTTTCAACCAGTACCATCATCCGAAACTCGTCAGACGACAAATGAAGAACAGCTTGAGCAGACTTCTTCGCAAGCTCAAGGCGATACAAGAGGCTATAACAATACTCAAGATGATAAAGAAGAGCCTAAAAAGAAACAAGGAAATGTTAATGCTAATCCTCATAGGAATTTAGGCGATGCATTGGCAGAATGGCGCCGTCGACTTCAAAGTATTACTGATGGGGAAGAGTCGAATAATACAAAGGAGAACGAGCAAGGACGAGATGAAGCCCTACCGCAGCTACAAGACAACGAAAATCAAGCATTCGAGTATATTCGAGATGATGAGACAGCATATGATGCGCAAGCTTTAGGAACAGCGGTTGAAGATCAAGTCAAATCACTTGACGCTCAAGCAGGGGCCATCGACGAAGATATACATATCGATGAAAGCAAATTTGAATACGCCGTTGACGAATCCGATAATAACGAAGATATTATACAAAGGAGCGAAATTCCCTACAAGGAGAGATTGACATCGGATGTTCAACAGCAAGCTGGAGCTATTCTCAATCACCGTACAAATGAACTCAACGAAACGATGGATCATGACTATGAAACAGCCTTGCAAACACTCGAATCTATTCAGCTTTCTCATAAACCGTTACCGCAGGAGGAAGTTGACCAAATGCGTCAAGAATTAGAAAAGAGGCTTAGTGACTGGCGAGAAAATGGTCGCGATATAAATAAAGCTCGTGAGCTATGGCAGAAATATGAGCATATAACGTACGATTTAGCATATGGTCTATGCGAACAGCTGCGTTTAATTTTAGAACCAACACTTGCAGCGCGATTAAAGGGTGACTATCGGACTGGTAAACGGTTGAACATGAAACGAATTATTCCATACATTGCTTCCGATTTCAAGAAGGACAAAATATGGCTACGGCGTACTAAGTGTAGTAAAAGACAATATCAAGTAATGATTGCGGTAGATGACTCAAGGTCTATGTGCGAATCGCATTCCATTCAGCTCGCATATGAGACGCTGGCTTTAATTTCTCGTGCATTGTCCCAGTTGGAAGTCGGCGACATCTCTATTGTCAGCTTTGGCGAGCGTGTCCAGTTACTCCATCCGTTCGATCAGCCATTTACAAGCGAGACTGGGGCTCAAGTGCTACAGCAATTTACCTTTGATCAGGGAAAAACTTATGTGAAATCATTTATGGAGACTGCGATTTCTCTACTGGAACATGCAAGAACAACTTGTCAAGGATCACGAAATTCTGAATTATGGCAATTGTTGCTAATTATCTCAGATGGCGTCTGTGAGGATCACACTGCTCTACGCAGTCTTGTTCGAAGAGCTGCTGAATCTCAAATAATGACAGTATTCATTATTGTAGACAATAAGGGGGAAAAGGATTCGATTATATCTATGAATCATGTCAAGTATAAAATGATAAATGGAAGCATGGTTCTGCAGATGGAAAGATATTTGGACACTTTTCCATTTGATTATTATGTAGTTCTACGGGATATTAATGCTCTAACTGAAACGCTTTCAGATGCTCTAAGACAATACTTTACGATGATAAGTAGCCAATA